TTTAAAAATCAATTAAAATAATTTATAGAATTAAATATTAAACGATCTCTATTATTCTTTCTTTCTTTCTCTCTCTCTCTCCCTCTCAATCTTCTTTTTCATATATCATTATCACAACATTGATAATGATTCGAATAATACAGTACACTACTTTTAATGTATACAATCACGTGTTTCACCACTAAATTCACCAGCCAATTCGATTGTTCCAACATCATAAAGTTTTGTTGGTGCATTACCAATTGCAATGTATTCATCCGGTATCATTATACTCATTTTACGTTGACAGGGCTGTAAATATCTTATCATCATTATTATTTGTAAATATCTTATCATCATTGCCATTTGTAAGTATCTCATCATCATTATTTATTGTAAGTACCTTATCATCATCATCAATTGTAAATATCTTATCATCATTATCGTTTGTAAATATCGTCATTACCATTTATAAATATCATCATCATTTTTAAATTTTAAAAATTTTTAAATACCATCATTATTATTTGTAAATATCGTCATTATCACTTGTAAATATCATCATTATCATTTGTAAGTATCTTATCATCATTATTAATTGTAAATATCTTATCATCACTACCAATTGTAAATATCATCACTATCAATTGTAAATACCTTATCATCATTATCATCTGTAAATATCTAATCATCATTATCATTTGTAAATATCTTATTATCATTATCATTTGTAAATATCTTACCATTCGTTGTCTTTTATTTATTTTTGATAATAAAAAAAAAAGAAGAAAACATAAAAGGAAAATTAAACTCGAACTTTTTTTTCTGTTCAAAAAAAATATTCGATGAAATTATGTTTGAATAATTTTAGCATCCTTTTTTCTGTTCAATTTTACAAAAGAAATTCATTATTTTTTTAAATTTACAAAATTTTTAATTTTTTAAAAAATTTTAAAAATGTCAAGTCAAGGTTTTTTTTTTCCTTCTTCTTTATATGATTAATAAATTTATAAAATTATACATAAATGAATTTATACATACCCACCAACCATCGTTACAATCATGATAGATGTTTATTTTAGGATCAATTGGTGTTACTTCAGCATTATTTCCACTAATTTCAAAATATCCTTGTGAATCGGTAATTGTTTCACCCATAAAATCATCAAAATCCAAACCTGTGAAAATTTTTTGAAAATTAATAAACGATTAAAATTAATGCTTTTATTTTGCATGAATTAGAATAAAAAATTATAGTAATTTTTATTGGTTTAATTTATTAATTACAAAATTGCTACCATATAAGAATACTATCACAAAGTTCAAACTATGTTTGTTTATTTTTTAAATTAAATTTGCAAATAAATTCCGCATTCTATCATAATATATTTTTGAACGGTTAAATTTTGATACCTCTGTCATCATCATAGAGCTTAATTAATACACCACTTTCAGGTCGTCCATTACAGGTCAGGTAACCTTTTGCACCTGCAGCTTGTGTTCGTCCAATTAAGCCACCAACTGCTCCATAGATGTATGGTATTAGAAATGTTGTTAAAAGTAAAATTTCTCGTATCATCATCTTTAACAGTAATTCTAGTAATAAATAGATTTCAATTAGCATTAAAATATTAAAATTCAACAAAGCTAATCTTTTCGCAATTAATTTATTACATACATACCGATGAAAAATTAATTAAGGAAAAATTAGCATTTATTTGATTACAAATTGTAATATATATAGCATTATTTTAATAAAAATACGAACCAAAAATTTGTTTCCTATTGATTTATTCAAGTTTTTCGATTTTAATTTAATTATTTCAATACTTTAAATACTTTCAAAATATTTATGTAATAATTAAATAATCATATAATAAATTGAATACTATTTCGTCGTTATTAGTTTATTTTTTTAACTAAACCTTTCCTATCATTACAAGCATAAATGATTTATTTTAGTGATGTTAACCAGTTTGCCAGTATGAATTAAGCTAATTTAACAGTATTTCATTCCAGACTATATCACTGTTTAATCAAATGTTATTAAAATAACTTAAATAGTGCTAATTTTTTTTATCACAACAAACAATTTAATTGATTTTCGATCCATTAAATACTCATATTCCTATCAAAATATTAATTTCGAACAAACAAATTACTACTTCTTTGTTTTTTTTTTTTTTGTCTTTTTTATCATTTCTTTTTAATTCACTGATAACAAAATAATTTTATTTTAAATAACGCTAACAAAAATAGCAATGCTAATAGCACATTTTAAAAATAATTTACTAATAAGATAATAAAAAAAAAGCACGATGTATGTAAGTGTTGAAAGATGAAGCAGTAAATGTTAAAATGATAAGCTTAGGAGGAGGAAAATATTGCTAGCAGAAGCTTTTAGATTTTGATTGATTTGACAATCAATCAAAGAGCACATTCGCCATTGTACTTTGATTAATTTTTTCCTTCCATAACGATTCATTTAACAAAAAAAATAATAGTTAAAATTATTTCAAAAAAAAAAAAAACTTTTTTTTACTTCAAAAAGTTAAAACTATTCCAATAACTTGTCTAATTTGCAAGATTTGAAATAATGCTTAAAATAAAATAATCTTTGTTTGCAAATATCATTTATTCGATACAGTTTTTTCCTTTTTTTTTTTTCAATGTACAAAGAGTTCATCATTGATAATGATCATTTTTATTGAGTGGAAATGATTAAATTAAATCAGATATCGAATTATTTGATGATCAAAATGGGCTTATTTATGATTATAGTATTCATTGTTATTTTCATCTTTTAAACATAATATTTATCGGAAAAACTACGAATAAAAATTGGTCTATAATTGGTTTTATGATAAAAGAATAGCTTATGACGATTTTTTTATCAATTCTTTTTTTAACAAATAAAGTTATTTTTTAATCAAAATTTTTAAAGGCTAAAATTCTGTTCAATTTTTATTTTAGTAGCTTAAAACAGTTAAAAGTTTTCGTTTTTTCTATCGCTCTCTCTTTCTGATAGCTTGAAACAAAATGATGGATTACATTAGGAGTGTTGAAATGGAAAAATGATGATGATGATC